GCAGATCTTCAGTACCATTCCTTAGTCATACAGATGTGTTGAATCATAGGACAGCTTTGTTAAAACCCAAGAGTTTTTTTAACCTCAGTTGTGCATGTGGAACTAAAGCAGGAGTGCCCGGTTCCAATACTGGAGGACCGGTGTCCAGCACAGTTTAGTAATTTTCCTGCTCAGACACACCTGATTCACTTCATCTGTTAACTGCCAGGTTTTACTGGTTGTGTTTGACTTGGAGAACTACAAAACTTTGCTGGACACTGGCCCTCAAGGGCTGGAGTTGTGCACCCCTGTTCTAGATTAATTACTGGTCTTCTGGACACATTAAGAAATCTCCATGCCCTTGTGTAGGTCACATAAAATTCAACACAGAAAATCAGTAAACAACAGATATAGCATTCAAATACAAGGGAGATATGCCACAGGGAAGTTACAAATAATAAGGACTATTATTTATTTGGTGGTCTGAAAGCTGGAGGTGAAAGAGCAGTAATGATTCTTTTAACGAGTCTTTCTAACCAACTATCCTGTACCACCGTATTGGAATGTAGGTGCACACGAAAGTAGATCATTTTCTTTGGGCAAATACCTTAATAGCAAATATATGACAGATGTTTCTTCCTCCATGCATATGGTGCAAATCCAAATCTGACCTGACTGACAGAGCATTGGAGTCTGTTTCAGTCAGTTGTGGTCTCAAATAAATAACCACAGCAACATGAGAAGATAAGATTTACTACTCTGCCTACTTCCTTCATGTCTGGTGTCTACACCTACTCAGGCCTGCTCCACTCAGTTGAATCGCAGTCCAGGTGATATCAGCCAGCTTTGATTGCTTTCATGATTTCCTACTAAATTTGAACCCGCATTGCACCATTAACAAGATGATAAGATGAAATGTTGGTAATTTAAAAAGATGTGCAGAAGCAGTTGGTTAATACCCTTCATAGCATTGTCCAAAGGTGAGTAGAGTGGCTTAAATCCATAGAAGTTAAAATAATGTTAATAGTGCTACAATGAAATAATGATTCTAGTAAAAGTACTTTTCCAAAAAACATTCAGGTTAATTCGGCATGTACTGAAGTATTAAAAAGCAGAGCTGAACCTGATATTGTGGTAAAGTTTATAGGATTTATTTTGGACCATATACTCTCCACCATTTCATGTGAACTAAACGCCCTAATACGAACCTACAAAAGAAAAACCTACATCCCATTAATAACCAATGACCCTTAATGATCAAAGTGTTGGGGATATGCGTTCTTAAACCGTTGAAGTGAAGGTACAGTATAATTTTTTTCAGTATTTTTTCAGTAAACGTGTTGAGATTAGGATTGGGCTCATTATTTCATCAGCAAAGGACATAAGAGGGTTGGGACAATTTACCCTGACCCCATATGAGCATAAAATTTGCATCCTAATGCCAGGTGTAAAAGGGGCCAGAGATCATCTGTTCTTTGTATTTGAGACTCATCAGTTGTAATACACCTGGAAAACGTCTGGCTAAGAAGGTAATTTAATTAAAAAAAAGTGTAATCTGTTTGCAGAAAAGTGTTTCACAACTCAGTATGTTTTCCTAACTTTTGCCTAAAGGCAGATCAGCAAAGTGTTTGCTAAAAAGGCCCACGTCCACATTTTGAATATCTGATGCTTATCACCAGAAGAAAAAACACTATATTTAAAGAAACTTTATTAAATTTATTAGTTTGATCATCAAAAAAGATACATTTGTATACAGAAAGAAAATTATACAGCGATACAGAAACAGTTTTGTCATTTTAGTCGGCGAGCAAGTTAAACGTAAAAGTGCCCCAACAAACCTGCCATTCTAATGAAATAATTACTATTCTATATTATATTGTATGAAGTTTTATATATATATATATGTATGTATATATATATATATATATATATATATATATATATATATGTATAGATAGATAGATACACATACATACATACAATCAAATCACTGTGCAATAAATTACAATAACAATCTCAGTTCATTTACACCACTGTTCAAGAATCACTTGTCATATTTGTTATGCAATAATGACATATATGTAATGTAGATTGAAATATTAAAGACACCAAAAGGTATTTTAGACACAATATTTTGATTTTGTTTGGGATTAACATATCATATATTGTCATTTTCTTTCTTTTGTCAACATACAAGTCATTCTTGATTTTAATGTTATTATAACCTAAATAACTGTACTTTTAGAATCATCCACTAGAATTTCTTAATTTTTTAAATATTTTCATAGCTTTCTACTAAATTTTTTTAAACCAGTTAAGTTGCACATTAGAATAATTTTTCTGTTATTTTACTGAAAACAGTGATTCCACACTTTTGAACAGTGATTCTAAACTTTTGAACAGTAGTGTAAACACTCTCAATAAACATCTTAAGACTTTACACACATCTCAAAACATACTTGACAAAATATGAACAGTTTAGTAACTTGTTATTTTTTGGTGTTTGCTATTAGGCATCTGTTAGTATTTACAGCTGTTAACACCAATCTCATATATATAATATATCTAAAGTTACATTTGTAGTGTTTTGCGGTACTGTATATCAGACTAAGCAATAACTTTTCTTGAAAAAAAAATTTAAAAATATTTTACTAGATGGTTTCTGTACAATGTATGTATGAGGTTAGATCATATCAATATTGTAGTTAAAACCACACAGGTTTTCTTGTCCACACCAGTTTAACATCTGAACATTTCAGGAAGAATGAAGAGCTAAATTGTGTTGTTTTTTGTTAGTTTTAAACCAGTGCTTGTAAAACGTACAAGTACTGATACAGAATCCCAAACCTACCATGTAGTCACATTCATTTGGAAGTGGAAGGCAAAAACTGATCCAAGATTACTACTCTGGATTCACAGCATTTTCTAAAGCCCCTAGGACCCCTAAATACTCTAATCTATTAATTTAAATAACACTAATTTAAAAAAAAAGTGCAGTAGAAGGAGCACTGCTAAAGTGAATCACTGTTTTTGGTTTGTCTTTTTCATGCACACTCTCATTTGAACAGTGTAAAGAAAGAAAAGCTTTTGGGTGCATTCAGTGTAAACATTGCACATATTCAAAAAAGTAAAACTAGTTTTTATCAAGACAATGTAAAAGTGGGATTTTTTCAATATACACTTTGTGTATATTTGTGATCTCAATGTGATCAGGATTTGTAAAATTCATAATGAAATAAAAATAAATAATAAATATATATAAAGCTAAATGAAAGTAAAATAATAAGTCTTGTTCAAAGTCTTTTAACCAATTCACTATTTTGGATTTTTACAATTATAAATGTAGCCCTTGTATAGATAAACATTAAAAAAACAAAAACATGTAAAACACAAGCTATATCATCCTTACACCATAAAATTTACAATAAAGTCAACAGTCCTTTGGTGTTTTTTTTTCCTGACTCAGTTGTGGAGGGCTGGGGGTGGGAGGGGGGGGGGTTATGGACAGTTTTATTTAAAATGATTTCCCTGTTAATACTCAGTATACCCATAAAACCTTTTTTAAACTAATGCTTTTGTATCTCTACTCCCTGGAAAAATGAAACATTTTATAATTTAAGCAAAATTAGCAAGACATATGGACAACTTCTTCACAGTACTGTCATTTTTGTGTATGGAATAAGCTTGCTAGAATATTCTACTGAAACAGTTCTACTAGGTGGAAATGAGGTACATATTTTATATTTACATTAGGTTGTTGTACGGCTGACTTGCAGCTGCAGGACAGCTAGTGAGAGTATATGCATTGTTTCAGTGATAAGTGATATTTATTAATGTGCAAGTGTATGTGTGTATATAAGTATTACTTTATGTCTTCTACTTCAAAGCACTATTTTATTTTTTCCATTTTCACATTTGTTGTATGCAAGTGTTAAAATTATTGCTGCTTTGTTTATGTTAGACTCATGAATATAGTTACATAACTGATCTTTTTCTCATTGTTATACATTTCTACCCACATGAGCAGACCCTTATATGTCAACTGTTAGTGCAAACAGTGCTAAAGCTTAAAATTAAATTCAAATTTGAAGCTACACCACAAAAAATTACATCTTGGCAAATAAAATCATCTTAAATCAAGTCAAAATATTTAACATTTCTCAATTTGAGATTGTTTTTGGAATATTATAAGATGACTGAACTTATTTCTAGAAATTTTTACAGGTTTTCAGTAATTGTGTCTCGTGATACATAATTTTGCATGATATAGGGTTGCTAAGGGGGCTGCAGCATCCCCAGATTTTTAGGATTGTTTAAATGCAAATAATAATATAATTTGAAAAAAATATTAATATGAGCATAGTAAGGAGCTGTATGTGCTTGTTTTAAGATAGAGTTTGCATTATGTTTATGTTTCATTTATATACATTTAAAGCCTGCAGTACCCATACACTGTTTAAGTTATATTCGGGGTGCCCAACTCTGTGGTCCGTGAGGGCTCGTGTCCAGCATAGTTTGGAGATTTACCTGCTCAACTCATCTGTTAATTGCCTGGTTCAGTGGGTTTCTTTCAGTAGGAGAACTACCAAACTGTGCTGGACACTGGCCATCCAGGATTGGAGCAGTGTTTTTCACACGTAGGTTATGCCTACTTGCAGTTATACTTGTGATTCTGCTAAAATATTTTTAACAGATGAATATTGAGAAATAGTTTAACAAGAGGCCGTGTGGACGGGGAGAGACTTAAGTATCCTGGTGTGTGTAAATTCACAGTGAGACGGTTTGCAGCCATTAAGTTAGCTTAAACCTCACTGAAATGAAGTCTCAAGAAACGGCTGTATCTTAGAGAACTGCATCCAAGACTGGCTCACATCTTCATGTTTGATGAGTTTAACCTCTTTCACCAGCGATCAGTGCCAGCTCTGCCTGTTAAGCAACATAAGCAGCAGCTTGGGACCCTGCAGCCACCAGGGGCCACTTAACAACTTCTGGATTATTACTGTACTATATCTTGTCTTGCGGGTGGTGGAGCATGTGCCCTTTTGCACCTTAATGACTAATAATGTAATGCAAGAATGGCACTAAATGATGTTAACAAAAGCATCTTTAGTAATTGTTTATGTTTAACTACTCTTGTCTTTGACTGACCGCTCTTAACCCCCGCCTCATTGTCTTGGCCCTCCAATCACTGCTTAGCAACCGTTTCTATCTGCCATTCGCTTGGTCAAGTCTTCAGTCTGCAGATTTGAATGTTAAACTCAAGATATGGTGAAAAAATGTGATTTTAAATGAAAAAAAAAAACAGTTTGTGTTTAAAATAGCCTAGTGCAATCATTGTAAACAATGTTGTTGTAGTATTTTTAAGGATTTTGTTATTTATTTATGCTTTAGAGTCAGTGTCTCACATATCCACAATCTGACTGATCATCACTTCTGAAGAGAGAAAGGAGAGAGCGTCAGTGGTTTGATGTGTCAGCAATGTGTGTATATTGCTGTCTTGTCACATTATCTAAAAATAAGTTCTCAACAATCCCAAAATAAGAACTAATAGACTACGTTTAAATTACTTTAAAGCTGAATTCACTTGCCAAGATATATATAATATATTTATATTTTGCAGTGTACAAACATTTACAGATCAGTGCTACAATACATTAGATGAGAAATATATTCATTATGAAAAATTACGATGTTAGACTAGAATAAATTGTATTAATACTACATGATTATAAGTGAAAAACAAGCATTTTGCTGTTTGTCTTTTCTTCTCCTAAAACTTTGTTATGCTACACTTTCTAAGCTAAAATGTCTTCAGCGTAGTACCAAAAGTATTCACAGAAAATCTAAAAGTACTACTTTTGTATTTAATTCTGCTATTCAGAGTAGATAAGAGATAAGGCAACTTAGCTTACCAAACTATTAACACTCTGTAACAGATTGATGTTTTCAAGAATCACGCTGATACGCAGTGAACAATCAGGTGTTTCTGTTAGTCTACATAAATTTCAGCTGCCATCCCTGGCAGCTCACAAATGACCACACTATCTCTCAGATTCCCCTTATATTAGCTTCATTGCATTACCATGATGTAGTTTGTAATCCAAGCAAAGTGTTTAATGCATCCAGCTTTTGTTACACAATGGACTCTCTCAAGTTGTCCACATAGGCTGTTGACTCAGGGACAGTGAATGGGGCAGAATGCAAGACCACCTCATTCTGCACCTCAACAGAAGGACATTTGCCCTCGCCTCTTCCTACATTGTCCTTTTTTTCGGGGAAAGCGACGGTCACAGAAGAAAGCTGCTTTGAAGCTTGGTCCCCGTAGAGCTGGCTCATTCGGCTTGCAATCATTCCCACCTTCTCTGGCGCCTCCTCGTCCTTCCTCTTCAAGTTGCTCTTTTCTCTGAACATGTAAGATGCATGTTTGAGAGTACGCTTTAGCATGTGTTTGCGGTAGGCTCTTTGGATGACTACAGCAGCCACCTCCTCCTGCTTGCGCCGAAGAGTGGTGGTTATTGGCTCATATGACACTTTTGAGGGGTTATTTGCCATGAATTTCTCCTCCATGCTTGCTTTGAGTGTGTCCATTTCCTCAGACTCGCCAAGCACTTCAGTTGTGAGAGCTAGCAGGATGTCAAGACAATGGATCTTGTCCCCAGGTACCATGGGGAGGTCCATGGTGATCAGCTTGATCGTGTTTGGCTTCGGGATCCTCAGTGGGTCCTTCAGTGTGTCACAGAATTCTGAGAGCGAACTGTAATCAATGAACTGTGAAGCATCTGGATCAAACTTTTCCCAGGTCTCATAGAACATCTCAAAATCATCCTCACACAAGGGCTCACCACTCTCCTCTGTTGCTACATTAAAGTTCTCCAGAATGATGGCAATGTACATGTTGACCACCACAAGGAAGGACATCACGATATAGCTGCAGAAAAAGACTATCCCCACCGCAGGGTTCCCGCAGTTACCTCTCACGTCTGTGCCAGGATTCTCAATCTCTGGGTCACAGTCGGGAGGTCCGCTATTGAGAATAGGGGACAAGAGACCATCCCATCCTGCAGATGTTGTGATCATGAACAAACATATTATGCTGTTCCCAAAGGTCTCGAAATTGAACATGTCATCAATGCCCATCTCTTTTTTCACATAGGCAAAGTTTGACATGCCAAATATGGAGAATATGAACATGATCAAAAAGAGGAGGAGGCCGATGTTGAAGAGAGCAGGGAGGGACATCATCAATGCAAACAGCAGCGTCCGGATGCCTTTAGCTCCTCTGATCAGACGCAGAACACGGCCTATTCTGGCAAGTCGGATGACACGGAAAAGGGTGGGAGACACGAAGTATTTCTCAATGAGATCTGCCAGCATGATGCCTATAAAGAAAACATTTGTTAAGGCACTTATACTTAAGGAAAACTTCTATCATACATGCATAATTGTCATACTTGCATTTTAAGGCATTGGCTAACTTGCATTTTAAGGCATATTGCTGCTTAAAAAATTGACATGAAAAGATGTTTGTTTAGTTGAACTAAGCTAATTTTAAATTGATGCTAGATAACACCAAACCCTCAAACTTACCCAAAATTGAAAGAATGACAACAATAAAATCAAAAATATTCCATCCAACAGAAAAGTAGTATTGTCGAAGGGCGATGACTTTAAGTACACACTCTCCAGTGAAGATGACAATGAAGACAAAATTGATATAGAAGAGAATGTTTTCCATCTCTTCACTCTGTTCATCAGTCTCCACCATCATGGTGATCATGTTCAAACAGATCAACGCCATAATCAAGATGTCAAAGAACTGCTTTGTTACGATGTCAAAGATGAATCCTTGGAAACAGTTCTTCAAATAGGTCACCAAATTGAAGGCATCAGGGTGGAGGAAAAGTGTGCAACATGGGAAACAAAAGAATAATTAGTATTTTGATATCAAACACTGTTCAAATCCTGACACAAAGTACTTATTAAACATGAGACCTTTTCTTTCTTTCTAAACATGAGATCTTATTCATCACATTTTAGAGCTTACTGCTTGTTACAAACATAAACGTAACATTTATGAATTGACACTTCATACCTGGGGTCGCGGGATAGGTTTCTGTGGTTTCTTAGAGCCAAGCTTCTTCATGGCATTGTAGTACTTCTTCTGTTCCTCTGTCATAAAGAGATCTTGCCCTCCTAAGTACAGAAACACCAAAAGAAATAATTATTTTAGATGTCTTGAATTCAATGAAACTTCAAACAATGTCACAAAGAACTCTGAGTTCTGAGTTAACAGTCAAGGTTCTGTTCCTAGTCCCTCCCTTTTCATCATTTACATGATACCCATCAGCCAAATTGTCCACAGCCACAATTTTAGTTTCCACAGCTATGCGGACGATATTCAGATACATGTCAGCATAAACTCTCTTTCTCACTTTCCACCCTAGACTCTGGCAACCTGCATCCATGAATTACAACTCTTGATTAATGACAGTTTTCTAAAAGTAAATACAGAAAAAACTGTGATACTATTACTAAGGGCCCAAAAGAATTGTTGCTAAAATGTTATTAATGCAAGATGATTTGTCAATGAGGCCTTCACTAGATACTAGCCCTCTTGGAATACTGTTTGATTCCTCAGTCACATTTGAGGCTCATATTAAGTCACTAACCCAAACTGCATTTTTTTTTATTTTCATAATATTGCCTGTCTCCCACCATTTATCAACACTGCTGACACCAAAGCAATGATTCACGCCCTCATATTCTCCAGTATTGATTATTGTAATTGTCATTTTTACTGGTCTTTAGGCTAACACCATTAACAAACTTCAGTTCATTCAAATGTCTTTTTTTAATGTTGTGATTACAGTAATGCATTGTAAAGCGACCCTGTGGTTGTTAAAGGTGCTATTTAAATTAAACTTATTATCACTATTATCATTATTGTAATTATTATTATTATTATTATTATTATTAGTAGTAGTAGTTGTAGTAGTAGTAATACACAGTGGTGAGTAGTAACCAGTTGCATTACATTACAGTTACATTAAAATTTTTAAGCATTGGAATAGTGATTCCTTATTAAAGCTTTAAAGCACTGAGCATGCTTTGTACTTAATGTTAAAAAGGTAATTTTATGTATACTTATCTTTGCTTTTTGTTGGTTGAAATTATCAATGATGACACCAATAAATAAATTGAGGGTGAAGAAGGATCCAAAGATGATGAAAATAACAAAGTAAAGGTACATGTAAAGGTTTGCCTCATAAGAGGGTTGATCTTCCACCTAATTAAGGAGCCAGAAGACAGAAAAAAAACATTAAAAAAGCACGTAATATCTCTCACATATTTACTGCTGAATAGTTTTGGTGTAAAGAAATCATTTGCAGAGATGACAATTTAAATTATTTTTTAAACTCCTGTTTTTGTTGATGTCAGTGCAAACAAGTTCGGTTTCAGAGTGAATGGGGTGATACATGTGTCATTAATCATCAGCCTAAAGAAAAACTCAGTGAGAAAATATATCTGATGTTTCTTTTCCATGCAATTTCAAGATAATATTGGATCTTACATCACGAGAATCCACAGCAGCATACATGATATCCATCCATCCTTTAAATGTTGCCTGAGAACAAACAGGAAATTAAGCCAGAAATCCAAAACATCATTATTACATGTGTCATTCAAGCATCAATCATTTAACCATTCTTCCATTAGTTTAGCCAACCCTGTACATTCATAAGCCATTCAAGTATGAACACTAACCACTTGCAGTAGGGAGAGGTAGCCCATGCCCACGTTGTCATAGTTAACCTTGAGGTTCATCCATCGTGCGTCTAAACCAGCACTAATAAGTTCTAAGCAGTCACTTTTGTTGTTCACCTTCTCAAGAAGGAATACCTCCTCTGAGGTTGTGTTTAAGCAATAGTAGAACTTTCCTGCAAACAGGTTCACCCCCATTATGCTGAAGATCAGCCAGAAGATCAGGCACACCAGCATTACGTTGAATATGGAGGGGATGGCTCCAACCAGGGCATTCACCACCACCTGCAGAAATTCACAAAGTGAGTTTCAAATCTGCATCATGAGTAAATTCAACCACTGGAAACCATGAAAACCTAAATCAGTGCTTTGGCCAAAAATCAAATTTATTGTTTTTTTCTCTCAGTCCAAAAGTACTTCATCAATCAAGACATGTTTGCTGTCCAGGATTTGCTAATAGACCACTGTTGTGTCATCATACTGTAGTCAGCATCATGCTCTTATTTAGAAACTCCAGGTCTAAGCTGGATTTCTCAATTACAAAATATATGGTATTTTTAAAATTGCCGCTATCACAACGTGTGGTTTTAACAAAATGGTTACAAACCCAATATGTTTTGTTCTACACACGTTACTGGACCCTCTGAATTACGGGGTCGTTGAGGGGTCCAAATACTTGCTACATGCAAGCTTACACTGGTATGCACTGGACTGGCATCATAGGACAGGCGACGAAAAACATCCCAAATAAACCAGCAAGCTTTGTCAATTGTGGTACCTAAGTTGCTTGATAATTCAGAGGATCCAGTGACATTCAGTGTAAAATTGTACATAAGACGAAAAGTATTGGATTTTGAACCTTTGTTTACCACAGGGTGCAATAGCGGCAATTTTAATATTTGTCACAGAGAAACCCAGCGTAGACTCAGAGTTGCTAATGTGGACATGATGCTAACTACAGACAATTTTAGAGGTCTATGTGTGATGAAAAGCTCCCCTTACTTGTTAGCTACATTTGCCTCAAAGCTCCAGTGCAAGACTAAAGACATAAAGGTCAGATACCAATTCTGTTTTGACTGACTTTGTTTGGGTAAATCTGATTTTTGGCCAAGCCATCACTTTATCGCTGCAGGCTAATATTTATCAAAATATGACATATGAGTGCTCATCTGAAACCTTTTGTCCAGATGACCTTATTCATTGCAACATGACAGACTAAAAAATCATACTAAATAGAGAACAACAGGTACTTACCCTCATTCCTTCAAATCTAGATAGAGCACGAAGTGGCCTGAGAGCTCTCAATGTCCGCAGGGATTTGATGGGTCCAAGCTCAGAGTAACCCAAAATGTTAGCGGTCAAACTGATTAGGGAGACCTGCAGGGCAGTTTCAAATTATATTAGTGTATTTGGTATATAATTTGTTCACATTTAAAATGTTTATGCTACAATAATAATAAGAATAATAAATCGAACTTGTTAAGCTACTAGAGACCATTTTACCATTGTAGTGTCATCTATCCTTGTGAATATGATTTAAATTAAATGTTTATTTCCACCCCCTCCCATCATTTCAAGGGAGTCTTTGGTCATTCTTTCAATACTGCATAGGGTTTATTTTCCAATTTTGATATGATATAAAAACACTCACATCAACAATGAGGAAGTCTAGCCAGCACCAAGCATTTGTGAAGTAAGTCTTGAAACCATAGGCAACCCATTTTAGGAGCATCTCAACGACAAAAACATAGGTGAAGACTTGATCTGCATACTCAAGGATGATTTTAATCACTCTTCGCTGCTCAATGTAAATGTCCTCAAAAGCCTAATAGAAGACAAGCAAACATGTGAAAGGAAGTGACTTTTCAGAATCAGCTGAAAAACTACACACATAGAAAAGTATTCCAGAGCATTAATGCAGTTTTCTAGGACATTAGTGCATAGCCGTTTTAGAATGTCATTACTGTTCTAACCCAACCTTCTGTAAGCTTGTCATAGATTTGCTCATGGCGTATTTCATTAAAGCTCACCAAGGCACCGCTGCTGAGCAGAATCATGAAGATGATGAAAGTCTCAAAATAGTTGTGCTCCACAATAGCATAGCAGGTCTTTCGAAGGTTCCACCATGACTTTCCTCTGCCCTGGGTGATATCCACATCCAGGCATGGACACCGCCTGATGCATTCTACGATAGAAAATACAGAAGCAAAAATACAATGCAAATCTTTTCCCAAATAGGACTGACTAAATAGGCAGTGCCAGTGCTTACAATTTCTCCACATAATATGACAGGTACCCATCTGTGACTGTGAAGCCTAGTACATGTCTCCTTAATTCTAGGTGAAGCTAATCATTGTACACCATAGAGAGTGCTGCTTAGTATTTTCTGTGATTTTTTTGGTAACTCTGCTCAGAATGGAGCTACACCATCCTTTATACCCAGTTACAGCAATTGTATCCTCTGGCTGTGAATGGTCTGTGGATGGCCCTGGCTGTGGATGGTCGTGGTATAGCTGGAGATCAAGTCCCAGATGTGAACCCAGTTTTGCACTACAAGGCTATGGGAAACAGTGCTTTAGCTGGCTGAGCTACAGGATTCCCCTAGTAATGTTCTCTTAAACTTAGAGCGACTCGATGGCTCATATTTCCCAAGACAGTCTGTTATTTAAGCTTAATTTTAGGACTTTGTCTCATAATTTTTTTATATGTCCCATATTTTAGATGAAAACGATTTATTTATGCTTTATTTGGCATACTACCAATAACATTAGACAGACAGACAGATAAATAATTCATCAATCAGAAAGGAGATTGCAGAAATTTATATTTTAGAGAAATTATCTGTCTAATCCTGGCAAACTTAAGTCTGTTATTGTTAAAGGGGAATTCTACTGAGTTTTCAAGATTTCTGAATAATTAAGATGTAAATCCTATAGACCAGAATGGTTTGTTATGACGTGCCATTCTAGAGAATACCAAGGCAGACCTGCACAGTGGTAGAGCATGAAAGGGCATGAAAGGCACCAGACATCAGAAGCATTTAATGCCTCTAAAAGTTACATCACAGATATCTTTTACATGAAATGGTTACAGATATGCTGCCTGATGCCTTACACATTGTTTTACAGTAAGGTTTTACTGTAAAGAAGTGGTAGATTTCTCTGCAATTAACCATTTCAAATAACATCACTCAGAAATCAGTTTATATCTCAATTGAATTATGCATGGAATTCCCATTTAAGGGCTTTCTATTCCTATTGATGTGTCGGAGCCATGGCCTGCTACTGCGGTCAATTTGTGACCATGTTATAAAGAATGGGTGTACACTATCTCTCTTATGTAAAAGAAAGGTGTCGGACAAATGTGTATTCTAATAAATGTAGGAATATTTGTATGTCCCCCCACCATCCTCCCAACAAGTCTCCTGAAAAGCATTGAAGCTGATGGAAAGACAAAGCGTGGACACATTAAAGATTAAAACATTTATATATAAAAACATATATATATATATGTGTGTGTGTGTGTTTATATATAAATGTTTTATAAATGCTTCTTCCCTGCTAAAAAATGAATAATTATTTCATGGTCATTTTAATGGAAAATTAAACAAATGAAGGATAGTCTCTGACTTTTGCACATTATGTTCAGACAAAACTAAACTTAATTAAAAGAATAGTTTATTGGGTCTTTCTCACTCTCAGTGTAGCAGTCCTCTGGGCTGGTTGGATCTTGTTCATCCTCTGACTCTGCCTCTTGTACCTCAGGTGGCTTATCCACGGTACTGCAGTTGGACGAGTCATCTGCTCCTGCTACTTTCAGCTTTCCAATAGATATAAAGAGAGAGTTAGATAAAAGACACACTCATCCAAACATTACTTGCCTAAAAAATGTTTGAAAAGCTTGCATTTCTGATACTCTCTCTGTTGGCTACTACTGTTGCGTGCACAGTTCCATACTGGACATAAAGTGCAATGTTTGGGTGTAAAGGCCAAACTTTCCTAACTCACATAGTGCACTTTATAGGGAGCAGTAAGGCATTTGAGACTGAGTCTTAGGATTTTCTGATGTATGATCTTATAGAGAGATGTTTAATATTGCCCATTAATGAGCTGTTATTGTTGCAGTTTTCAGTAACAAACCCTGTTTTACATAATCAGTTTTTGATGAAGGGTCTATGACAGATAACCAAGTTTGAACGATCACTGTGGTTTCTCGTGTTTTTTTTTTTGGTACTGCTTCTGTCTCAGTGTGTGAACTAGAACACTTGGGACATCTTGTACAAGAATATATCTGGTTTTACAGGCACAGTTCAAAAGGAGTTATATTTAGCAGCATGAAGAAGACACTGTGAATGATAACTGGGGTGCTTAAATCCGTCCCTCAGATTCAAATGGTATTCCTCTTTCACTGACGTAGCTGCATGTAACTAAAGCTTTAGCAGCAAACAGACCCTTCTGACAAAGTGTGATTAGATACACTACCATAAAGTATATACAGTAACATTTTTTTATTGCCATCATTATAGCCAGTCACATTAAATGATATGCCAGGTAGGGCACGTTTTCTACTGAGCAATATCAAATTTAGTTGGTGTAACACATATCACTTGGTACTGCATATTACTTTGCTGTTATTTTTGTTTTGTTTCGGTTTTCTCCCTTTCAAATTCCAGTGAAATACAGCAAATTGCTTAGCACCACTGGATCTCCTTCAGCTATGTATCCCCTTCCCTGTGGAGAAACATGGCTGAGTGTGGTATGCCAGGCGTTGGGACACGAGAGAGTATGTCATATGAGCCGTGTAATTCAACCCAGTTTACAGACATACCAACAAACAGTTGCCTAATGAGTCAGGGCTTATGCACCTCACTGAAACAAATGTTTCACAAAATGTCTGACCCAAACCAGCAGTCCTATGTTTCTTACTCTTAAACCACCAACATGCATGGACAGATGTGTTTTAGGTATGTCTGTAACTTTACCGTTACACCCTACAGAGTGATGATTGTAGGAAGGAGATACCAAAGAGGTCAGGTTGTTGTCCATCAGGTTAACTAATCACGCTGCGCTGGTGCCCGTTCCCACGGTCTGTCACTGTGACACATGACTTCTCCTATGCCCCTAAAAACACTCACAGTCTCTCTCTTTCTCTCTTTCCAGTCCTATACTGGAGACAGATGCTCTCAGGTGTCCTAAAAGAGGTTTGCAGGTGTCACAGCATTTGGAGTAACCTTGTTCCTCTAGATACTACTTGGCTCACGCAATCATTTTTAAAGGGAAATTTTACAGATTTTTCATATTTCTGCATAATTCAATCGTTAAGGTGTGAACAGTCATTCAGAGTGGTTTGATATGAAAAGGTGTATTTTAGAGTAACTTAGATTGTAGGTGGTTGTAATGTCTACAGTGTGAATGTAGCCATTTTTTATTCAGAATGATCAGTTAAGCTACACGCGTCTTCTGAGTTTTTATATGTAATGTTGGTGATGGTAAAATAATCTCTAAACAGTGTCTTAGATATCAGGCAGTGAATGCTTTTAGAGATATTAAACTCTTCAGACATCTGGTTCCTATCACCACCACTTTCCACAGATTTTTTTAAATATGTATGTTTGATATAGTACAAATATGTTAATGGTGATTTTTTTAAGGAGAGATTAGTTTCAAATGCAGTTGTTTGGCTTAATTGATATGATCAGGAAAGTGGTATGTGGTCTGGACAGCAAAAATCCCCATAAAGACTTGACCAGACCCATAAATCCCCATAAAAACTTGTCAGAATATGTCACAAGAAAATCATACTTTGGCCTGCCCTGCTCTAGTCAGCCATTGCATTCTTAGTGTGACTAGGGATGGCATATCGGAATCAATGGACAGGGGTATCAGGTAGATACCAGCAGAAGTTCTGTAACAAATCTATCTTAAAATAGCACACAATCACAGTGTGATGTAACGTGGTTAGCTGTATATTTCTTCTTGTGGGGTCATAGAGTTGAGTAGTTTGGTGAGTAGCGTGATCCCTACTTTTAGATGCTCACCTTAAGTACCAGTTAAAATAGCTCATTTTAAACCTCTGTAGTTTTTAAAGCAAAAATATGAGACCTTTATAGGACAAAACTTTTTCAGGTATCAGCATCAGAAAAGAAAAAGTGAAGAGTTCATTTGCAAAAAAATTATAAACGCTATCCTTTAAAAAAACAAGCTGACTGTGAGTTATTCTTAACACACAGCACATTCTGACCCCTAAATACATTTTGTCACAAAAGTCATTATTGTCCATTGTCAAGGCATTGTAAGTTCATGTTTTACCGCAGAAACAGTCAAACACCAGCGCTGTCCTCGAGCAGAACCTGATAAATCCATTCAGCATCCAGTATTCAGGTCAGGTGATGCAACACTGTCACAAACTGTTTTAGGCAAAATCTCAAATGGGCTCACTTCTCCCTACAAAGTGCAGTGCGTAGGCCTTAAAATAATGGCTACTGCATCTAAACAGTGCACAGTGTGTCTAACAAAGAATCACTTTGGATTCAGTCATGTGTGCACAATTACATACTGGACATAAAGTGCAGTATTTGTGTGTAAAAGCCAAAATTTCATAACTCACATAGTGCACTATATAGGTAGCAGTGAGCCATTTAAGATTTAGCCTTAAGATTTTCCGTGGTATGATCGTATAGATGTTTAATATTTAATATTTTCTTGAATTTTCAGCAACAGAACTCGTTTTATGTTAAAGTTGTTTTATGTAAAACTTATTTTTTGGTAAAGAATGTTAACTATTGCACTTAAAAGAAACTTGTATCCACTAAATGGCTTTTTTTGACTCTGAAACATGAAATCACACTGGAGTTATCTGCTTATGCCAAAAAACTAAATTAAAGAAAAATAAATTGATGCAACTACAATATGCGCTCAGAATGCACCTGAAATGAACAATTTACTAAGGCTGCAAACTGATCATAAGACCACCTATCAAGATTGAGACAAAAAAAGGAAATCAAAGTATAAAAGAATGTGGCTGAACTTCATCGGAAACTGGTGCAAAAAGCTTAGTACATCAGGCCCTCTGTCCAAAAATCAGACTTAAGAAAAAATCTGCTTACCCTGATGTGTGAAACAAAGCCTACTGTACTGAACCAAGATATTAGTTTACTGTAATGTGCCTAGACAGGGAAAAAAAAACTCACTTTGGTTTTTTCATCAGCTTTCTTGTCTTCATCCTCAGAAGTGTCATCTTCATTGGGGCTTTCAAAATCAGATTCTCCCTTTGCAATTGGAACTTTGACTGCAAGCACAACAGCCGTTTCAAAAGTGCCACCCAACTTTTTCATCTGTGCTACATCCTCAGAGTCCATGTGGTTCAAGACTAAATCGTTGCCAGTTTTGAAGTCATCTTCATCGTTCTCTTTTTTCTGCTCTTCTATGGGCTTGAGGCCCAGCAGACGCCTGACCTGTCTAATAACGGTGGCCTTGACCCAGTCAATGCCTCTGGTGATCCTTCCAATGGCAATCTGCAGGTTGTTCATTTCACCGTCATCGTCTGATGCCAGATTATCTCCACTGAACGAGCTAAGCAGCAATGCCAGAAAGAGATTCAGGACCTGGAAGAATAAACAAAATAACAGTTCATCCAAAATGTTAGTGTGGTTCACAAAACCTGAATGTGGGTGTAAAATTCTTCTTTCCATCTGCCAATCCATTTGTTTCAATACTTAACAAAACAGTGTCTTAACTAAATCTTAATGTCTTACCTAAACAAAACAATAAGTAATACTGTATTTTGACAGAAAGAAAACAAATTGTTCCAAGTAATGTGAGTTCATTACTGTTGTGCAGTTTATTATTAACTGATGACCCTAATGGTGCCTTGTCTTGAGGTTGGCTTTGCTCTCTACCTCAATCCATGGTGCCAGAACTTGGGACAACTCCAAAATAACACTAAGGTCAGGACCACTATTTATCTGGCTACTCACACTACTGAAAATAGAACATACAGTATGACTTTCTCCATTAGAACCATATGCCTCTACATTCAGTATTGATGTTGACTTACAGTGCCCTCCCTCCTCCTCAGAGGGATTCCAGACAAAACCCTTTTGTTTGTGTTGGCACTTCATCTGTTACCCAGTTTTTGTTACCTCATCAGATGAGCTGTTTCCTCTTTGCTCTATGTATAACTGAAACGGAAATCCAGCCGGCAGCATTTATAGTAAATGGCTGGTTGATACTTGAGGTAAATAAGGAGTATTTATAATTAACTTTCAGTGAGAGGATCGCATGGACTTGTTCTACTCTGCAGGATGTAAGGTCTATGACAGATCTGTCTTCTCAAGCATGCTGGCCATCATCAACTCCGACAGCCTTAGGGATATCAGACTTGTGAAAGTGTTCCAAGCGCGTGCAACGTGTCACAATTTAATTATCTAGTGACATCTCCTACGCCTTGAATTCAGAGGGATTTCATGATTTAAATGCACATCCATGCTTTATGCAGTGGGAAACCTTCAGGGCCTTCTTATTAAATTTTGGTTGGAAGTTAAGATCTTGATGTTGTTATTTAGGTAGATACAGCAAAGCAAGCTATTCTGTTGGTTAGGTCTTTAGCTGGATTGAAGGTCTTGCACGTTCGATTAACTACCAGCATAATTTGGCAAGTGACAACAGAATCAAACAATCACCTGTTGATTTACAATGGGAGGGACCAATTTTGTGAGGTAAAATGGCCTCCCTAGATACATCACTGATTATGTATATGAGCTGTAGTTTAACCAGGTTTCACTGAGTTGTTAGAAATGGAAAACAATGGCAGCAGCTCTGTGCCAGGCTCTCTACTAAATTACTGTAAACCTTCTACATACAGGGTAAAATATACGTTGATATCTGTTACAAACTTCAAACAAAACATGGAATGTCTTTTACAAGTTTCACATGTTTGTGTGTAATCTAACATGGCCAAAAAATGTTTGCATCTGGACCTGCTGACGGGTCTCTAAAATTTAGAAGGTTTAATACATAATTTAACCAAACAATGCAAAGTTGCCTGTTAGCATGATTTTGCAATAATTTTGCAAACATAATATTTTAAAAAAACTGTAAACCAATTTGAAGTATACAACATCCAGTCATACTCTGGTCAAACGATGTGATGGAGGTGACACTCACCACCAGGTTTCCGATCACCATGACCATCATGAAGACTACAATGCACAAGCCCTGACCCGCCACCTCCATGCAGTCCCACATGGTCTCGATCCATTCCCCACACAGGATCCGGAACACAATGAGGAAGGAATGGAAAAAGTCTGTCATGTGCCAGCGTGGAAGCTCACAATCTGCTGCAATCTTGCACACACAATCCTTGTAGCTCTTTCCAAACAGCTGCATCCCCACCACGGCGAAGATGAAGACAATGATGGCCAAGACGAGGGTCAGGTTGCCGAGAGCGCCCACAGAGTTACCAATGATTTTAATCAGCATGTTCAGCGTGGGCCAGGACTTTGCCAACTTGAAGACACGCATCTGTAGTCAACATATTCATGTTATGATTATAGTAGCGATTATTGACAGTATTGGTTTCAGTAAATATTGATTTGCAGTTGGATGACATACCAGTCTGTGTGCCAACAAAACAGTAATTATCACTAAACCTAATGGTTTAGACAAAAGTATGGAAACATGAAATAACTTTTAAGTACATCAGAGCTCCTTCCGGTTACCATGAAAACTGGACTGGTAAAGCTTGTAATGTATAGTCTTGGTTGAGATGGGATAAGACAGTCCTAATAGAGTTATGCAGGAATATATCAGCATTAGTATAAGTATTTGTTTTATTCAAAGCAAATTATAGCTACTTTAAAATAGGTCCTTTATTTTGTCATGTTTTATGTACCTTCTGTATTTGAGAAGGTAGTTCTTAAAAATACCAGTAGTACTCCAGGACCAGGACTCAGAGCGACTGGTTTACACTGCAAAAAAATATCTTGGCAAAATTTTAAATGTAGTTCATATGTGTAATAGTTCATATGTGTAACATTTTAGTTGTTTTAAGTAATTTTATCGAATGAAATGTTTATCTAATGGCACATAATTTTGCTTGTTTTGAAGACATAAGGCAGATAATTTTGCTTGTTTCAATAAATAATGCATAAAACAAGCAAAATCATGTGCCAATACAATAAACATTTTAATTGATTAATAAACAAATTATAAATAAATAAACAAATTAATTGATTAAATAAATAAGCAGTTCACTAAATATATGGCATAGCAGTAAATAGATAATACTAAAGTTAAAAATGAAACTAGTATATTTTAGATACAGGCAACATGAAATCCATCTTGAAATTTAAGCTGTCACTTGCACCCATCAGAATACTGTTTGGTGGTTGAGTATTTTGGAAAGATCTGCTGTTTGTAGCTGCAGTTTAATGGGGGTGTGGCTAGGGCCGTTGGCGCTCCCCTGCTCATTGAATACTGAGTCATTTAGCTTAAATAAAGCTACTGTTTGGTGTATTTTAATTTCAACTGACCGTCATTTACTCCCAACGCCACAGTACACACCACACATTTCCACTACTCTTATCAAAATGCATGCATTTTGTAATGAATGTAGAATGCTGAGGAACATCGTGTTGTTGTTTAAATGAGCAGTAGCTAGGCTACAGTGATAGCCAGGGCGATTTATCTTGTATGTGGTGGTTTAGCTATGGCACAGCATTGATGAATTGGAGATATATATACATGTACACACACACATATACACACACACCAATCAGGCATAACATTATGACCACCTCCTTTTTTCTATGCTGGACTATTCTCAGTCCAGCAGTGACACTGAGGTGTTTAAAAACTATGTAATATATATATGTATTTAATTCATTTTGTCAAAACACTTCCTTACATTTTCACTAGATAAAAGTTAATATGTTAATCTAAAAAATAAGTTAATCTTATAATATTGTACACCAATCTCAAAATATTAAATATATTGACTACATTTAAGATGATTACACTTGCCAAGATATAATTTTTTAGTGTATTTAACACAGTGGCTGGGAGATTATGTGAAAAACAGCACAGGATATAAATAATAAAGATATATGAATAAATAATACTTCAGCAACATTTTGACATACTCTTCTGATTCTTCTAATAAACCCATGGAAGTTCTGAACCCAATCAAGATATTTCTGAACTTAAATAGCTAGAAATGTGTGTGTGTGTGTGTGTGTGTGTGTGTGTGTGTGTGTGTATGTATGTGTTTCCATATACATATAACTCAACACAGAATGTCAGATTCACACAACAAACTTGATTCTGTGCATAGGTTAGCTGAAGTCACAAGGTACGTTAGCTGACAGCAGTTATAAAAACGCATTTTAAAGAACATTCTTAAAAGATGAACTATGTTGGAGCAAAATGGCAGCCTCTGTTTTTGTGTGCAAGCAATGTAAGCAAGTATGTCACAGCTTGATATGCTTCAGGACTTGCATGACCAAACTTGTTGCTAGCAAGCTCTAACATAAGATAGATTATGTTCTAAAACATTTCATAATTATAGAAATATGAAATATGCTTCAAAACAACATCTGATTCAAGATACATTAGAAGGGTGTTTTCCCAGTCTTTAAACTGGGAAATCTCACTCTAAAGACTAATGTGGCACTGCTGTACACTGTGAGAAAGGCACTGGTTACAGCAGATCCAGTGATGTTAACAGCAGATCTAGCAATGATTACAGCAGATCTAGCAATGGTTACAGCAGATTGAGCGATAGTTATAGCAGATCTAGTGATGGTTGGCAGAAGTGCCCCCTATAAGTTAGTGATCTCACTTGGGTAAATTAACCTTGTGGATCTCATTATTGCTATGTCTAACATGCATAGAGGCCTGGTTACCCCTACAAAAATGAAATATATTGTTATATGTTGTTGCTATATTCCAACATATCACTGCTGTTGGAAAAAACCTTGTATCTTCATTTTTGTTGTTTTTCAGTTTTTGACATAATTTGAAAATGCCTGTTGCATTTTTTCTCTTATATTGTGTATAATTTTTTTGAAGAATGGACAGAAAGAAACGACCCAAAATGGCTTAGAAAAAAGTCTGGTTTCACTGACTTACATTAAAAGTAAAGTAGGTTTGATCTTTTTCCTATAAAGTTACCATTTTGGAGATACAAGGTTTTCTTCCGACAACAGCGATATAAATCAAATATGTTGTAATTGTATGGGAATATGCCATAGTGCGCTTCTTTATGCACTAGTTAGATATTTTGATATTAGATTATTTTTAACATGCAAGGAGAATTTTCTTCTACTTAAGTTAATCATGTATTTTTGTGACCCAAGTCATATTAATATGCATCTTACATAACTTATGTTATACAGTACAGTATAGTATGTGCTCATTCACTTTGTTTCCTTACACTGGACGTGGGTTTGTGCCCCTTCAGATAATATTTTATTTAACCGAAGATATTTAAATGCACTTGACGCATGCAAAAAAACACGGATTCAACAGCACATTCCAGCGGCTTGGAAACAGCGACAAGTTGAGCATGACAAGCTATGGCAAATTAGGCTACTTCAACAAATAAAGTAGCCTGGGCCTATTGCTTCACGCATAAACTTAATAAAAGAACAAAGTGCAACAAATGTCTTTTTCTCCCACAAATGCCAACATCACACTATATGATTCTTCCCTGTTTCATGCTGTTCTTAAAGCTTATATATTCATCTGTCCACTGATTAAAGTTTGTGGTGCCCCTAAATGAAAGGTATACATATAATATAGATACATTTTTGTGCACATTTTTTTCTGTTTTTTTGCTCTAGGCACTGAGAAGCATCAGACAGTGTGATGTCAGCTATTTACCAAAACAAAGGTGTGAAGTCCTCCAATAGGCTTGCTCTCCCCAAATTCCTCGTGTCCAATTAAAACGTCCGCTGACTGTAGCTCAAATTCTTCATTCTCTCCTCTGTGCTTTTTTTACATGGAATAGAGGGACTAGTGCAATGAATCTATTGAATTGTGATTTTTAAACGTTCGGGTACGAGAAGCAATAAGTCTTCCAGCAGCACTACGCTAATTTTCAGTACGCTATCATGGCTAGCACACTCTTTGTCTCAAAAAACAGAAAGCATAGTATCACATGGACGGCACTTCAGACTCAGACTGTTGCAGTTCTATAATAAAATCTTGGTGCTACCTCCTTTGCAAGAATTTATAAGCTGAATTTATTTTCTTACAGCCTACATTGGTGTACGTACAGTGGTATGCAGCTATTTTATGTTAAGTGGATAAAGATGTACTCACAAGACGGAAGGACCTGAGCACAGAGAGTCCTTGCACATTGGCCAAGCCCAGCTCCACTAGGCTCATTGTCACTATGATACTGTCGAATATGTTCCAGCCAACCTGAAAGTAGTAGTAAGGGTCCATCGCGATGAGTTTGAGGACCATCTCAGCCGTGAAGATACCTGTGAATACCTACAAAAGAACATCCCTTGTCTTTTCTGAGGCCACTTGAGAAGATACAGTGCTGCTGTTCTGTGAGTAGCAGTATGTTTAATCTGTTTACTAGCAGGAGTTTACTGCATATATTTAAGGCCTTACCAAGTTTCCAACAGACAGGACTGATTCAAACTCATGTGTCATTGGGTAGTGTTCCATGGCCATGAACACAGTGTTCAGTATGATGCAGATAGTGATGCCCAGGTCCACGAAAGGGTCCATCACAATGAAGTACACCCACTTTTTGAATCTGATCCATGGTGTGCAGCAGTCCCACTTCAGGAAAATGTCAGCAAACTTGTACCAGCAGGGTGGGCACGGTCTTTCTAACTCTTCAAATTCTGAAAGTGAAAGAAAATATAGATCGTGTTTTATGTATGTTAATCTCTTAACTGTTCAGAGGTCCATATACAGTAACACTTACAGGAGTAACAGTATAGAATGTTTTAATGTCCATCAAGCCAGTAGTTGATAATTAACTTTATTAAGTAACAGCTAGGGTGTATTAATCATTCCACCTCACTTTTATTTAGGCATTATGAAACATAATAATGTATCTTTTACACAACATATTGTATCTAGTATTACATTCTTGAATAAGTTAATAAATCCCATACAGAGAACACACATCTACATATTTTAATGTATAAGTTCTATTTATGTACTTAATTTGACAGGATATATATATATATATATATATATATATATATATACCAAGCCAACAGCTGCAAATTAACTGGCTGCTTATTACTTTATTAAATAATAACATCAAGTAAAAGCATTTTTCAGAGCACTTTTATTTATATATTGAGCACATAATTTACTGATATGAAGACACCCATCTTTACTTTACTTACCTTATTAAGAAAGTTTTATGAGGCTAAGTCTAAGGCTAGACATTGTCTATAACAGGGCTGAAGTGTGGTAATGGGCCAAAGTTGGCCTGTGAGGATGTTTGGTTTGGCCTGCCAGAAAGTTACTGTAAACACACCCTGCCAATTAGAGGACAGCCATATTTTTATACTAGATATAACTTATTAAATTCTTATTTTGCTCTTAAGTTGTATTTTTACATGTTTTAATTAGAAAACAGTGTAATGTTCTAAAATACATTTTTAAAATTTGATATGCCCTACCTTCTGTTTTTATTTGTATATTATTTTGTCATTTTGGCCATTGGCCCACCATAAATGTTACATTTGGCCCCCCAAGACAAAAAGTACCCCTGGACTAGAGGGTTTGTTAATGAGCGCAGTTCATGCAGATGCTTAAATAAGTGCTATACAGCAGAGTTAATGCCTTCTGAGTACATGTTAACTAGGAATCTTCTCTTTACAATAGAGGGTCAGTTTGTCTTTATTTAAATCTAATTCCTGAATTACTATTAAGGTATTGATAAGGATCAATAGAGAAAAAGCACAACGTAGAGCCAATGCTTGTGTAAGGGCTGTGTATGATATGATAAAGGATGTTTATGATAATACAAAAATAAAAGTAAAAAATGCTAGCCTAGTCATTGTTTAATGAATTATAATATTTGCAATTAAAGTGACAACTTAAAATATAATTAATTAATATGTATAATCATCACTTCTCCTTCCTAGAGGAACACAGAATAACATCATTTTGCATTTTCCATGATCTAACACAGCTGATTTAACTCATGGTAGATGTAGATAGCCCTTCATGACTTCAGCAAGAAATTTCTTAACTGTGCTGTGAATACATTATATTATATATAAGATAAACTAAGGAGCTTACCTTCCAATGCATTGCTTTCATTGCTCACTACACTGGGTTTCCTTTTGTGTGCGCTGGTCACTTCTAGGTGATCCATGCTTCCTTTGGATCCATTTGACTTTAATACCTCGAGAGACTTTAAATACAGCGCAGATAATAGAATTAAAATCGAATAATCGTTGCTGAATGTGATTGTTAAATGAAAGGAAGCAGTCCTGCCATAATTCATTTAACTTTGTCATAAACCTCCATTTAAGTATGTAATAGTGTTTAACTTCAAATCTTCCATTACTGTCTTAACTGAAGCTATCAATCATATTACAGTTAGATGTATGTTTACAGTTAGATGTAATTTTAATAAGAATTTTCTGAAAGAATATGCGCAAATGCAAGTGCTTAAATAGAGTGCAGTGTGAGTGAATCTAACAGAGTTTGCAGGCATCGACATACCTCTTTGTCTGAGAGGGGTTTTAGGGCAATGTTGTCGTGTTCTGTCTTTACTCTGCCTCCCCCGTCATCAGCAAAATCATCACCTTTCTTTTGGCTTGAGAGTGAGCTCCTGCTGCCTTTAACCATCCCTTTTTTTTGCTGGTTGGATAAATTAAATACTCGGTTATGACTGTTATAACCTGCTATTTTATCTACTCTTTCATTTAATGTTCTTAAGATATTCCTATATCTTCAAAATACTAGCTGAGCTAGTAGATATGGATGCAAAAGTTGGAATACCTCAGTCAAATTATATGTACTGCTGAGTTAAGTAAGTTAAAATATCCTTTACAGAGTGCAAACTAAAATATGACTATGATATGATAAAATATTTCAGTACACTATTTCTATTTATTGGATAATTAGAAAATGTAAAATGTGTCATAACTTTTGCACAGGCCACATTTTATGTTTTATTTTTTCCCAGTATGTTAAATTCAGCAAGTGAACAGTAATTGTGCAGTAATTGTACATTATAATGTATGTTTGTTCTCTGTAGAGGATACGTGGTTAATGTCATGTAGAAAACCAACAAAACGTGCCATTTGACCAGAGGTGCCCAAACCTTTGCATACGACTGTTTAGATCTAACGTAACATTCAATTATTCTGATCAACAGGATCTTCATTGAACCGGCAGATCTAAAAGACAGCGATCTGTCATTGTGTTCTTTAGTGCAAAGCTGGATTCAGCAATGCTAATTTGGCTAATACTGGCTAAAGTCAGTGGACGTTGGTGCGATTATAGCACACTTGCCTCAGCTTGCTTCCTCAGCTGTTCCATAATTCTTGCGTACTCCTCTTCCTTCTCTTTAGCTTCTGCTATGGTGGCTTCGTTCTGCTCTGCGTATGCCATGGCCACCACAGCCAAAATGAGGTTGATCAGGTAGAAAGAGCCCAAAAAGATGACGACTACAAAGAAGATCATGTAGGTCTTCCCTGCTGCCCGGAGAGTCTGAAACATGCAGGGCACTGTCAGCAGGCCATGAAGGAAGGTCTAGATCTCAAGTGATTATTTTTGTCTCAGGACAAAGCCATAAACAGATCTTAATGGAAGCACGTTAATAAGATTACAGTAGAGTCATATCCTAGGCTAATGTGCAGCAAATTCCATCATAGTATTTATAGCTTTGTCTCTCAAATGGAAAAAATTAGTACTTACATTATTTAACAATTATACAATTCCATTATCGAAGCATAGAGAAGCAAGAATAGAAGATAGTGAGAAGAATAAAATGTACAATTAGATTTATACTACAGACTCCAAAGTGTGAATGTACAAACCAGCTGGAACAAGTTTTCCCAGAAGTCTTGCGTCATGAGGCGGAAGAGGGCGAGGAAGGCCCAGCCAAAGTTGTCATAGCTGGTGTAGCCGTAATTTGGATTTCTCCCGGCTTTCATACACATGTATCCGAAAGGACACAGCCTGTCGATATTGCAGTGAAGAGTTCATTTATCCAAGAAGGCTCACACAAGTTGGAGACTGGTAAACAAATAAACTGGAATGTAGGGGTGTAAGAATTCTTCAAATCCATGGTTCATTTCTTTTGGTCTGTTTTGTAATTTTGGGGGGATGGGTTTGGGAAGTGAATAAGAAAAATGGAGATTAAATTTCTAGGTTTTATTAAAACACCAACATTTTGGAACACTAAAGAGAAGGACACTAAAGAACATGGTACATTAGCTTAACTTCAGGTTTGAGAATTGTTACACCCCTACTGAAATGTAATCACATTCTTTGAGTAGCTCTTAATTCTAACAAATCTGGATCCCCAGAGAGTTTGTGAGGATTCTAAAGAATACATTTGTGTTTCACAAAGATATCTGAGTAAATTCTATACTTTGATGACAAATTCGTTATTTTATAGCAACTGTTGCAAAGTTGGAGTTGGACAAGATTTAGAGAACGTTAGACAAAAATCTAGTAATGAATGAATGAAGTAAATGAATAATGTCAAATCACAGTGATCCTTGTGTGGAGTCTCTACACAGTGTTGAGTTTTCAGTTTAAAATGCTATCTAAACGAGCTGGACTTCGTTGTCGTAGCTAATTGAAACTTGGCAGGTTGTAGTAACAAAGTGACTTTTCACAGACATTCAGAATATTAAAAATGAACACAAATTTAAGCATTTTGACAAAGAAATTACATACAATTACAATTTCTCACGTTTGAAAATTTCAAGCATATAATCAGAAGGCTCACAGTCATTCCAGGTCTAGATCAGAGGGCTAAAGATTGACCTACATTACCTACATTACCACTTTTCTGAGTAGAACTTTATCCATGCTATCAGTTGCCTCTGATCTGAAAATTAGCTTCCGATTGTGAGCATTTTTCTTAAGGGCCAAATCAAGGGGAAATCTTTGCTAGAAATTGTTTAGTGCATGGCTGGCCTTGTAATGCTTGTCCAAACTTTCAAGAGCTTGAATAGGGGAAATTATCAAACTATCAGATGAAAATAAAGAGTGATAAACATACCCAGCATCAGAGCTGTTTCCACAGAGAAGTGCATCTGTACTATCTGGGAGAAAGTAGTAGTTCTCTGCACAACAAAGAAAATCAGACAGCAAGTTTACTTTTTGTATATATTTTCCAGTGACTATGTGTAAAAAGTATTTCCAGTGGAAATTCACAACTGATTGTGTAATTTAGCTTGAGACTTGCCTTGATCTAAAGCTGACTCCTATCCAGGGTCAATAGATACCAAATATACGTATTACCACATTTCGTTATATTGCAAAATACATTGTAGACAAATCCTTTTATCTCAAGAATGGTAACTTTACAGGAAAAGTAAACACTTTCTTTACTTTAAATGGAGGTAATTTTGGAGCCTTTCTATTGAATCATTCATCATGAAATTTTAACAAATTGTAAAAAGTACCCGGCATTTTCAAATTCTGTTAAAAAAAAGCTTTGTTCCAACAGATATTAAAAACGCATTGGTAAAATACTGCCCTGCATTATTTTGACCAAAATAATTTACTTTTGTAGGATTACATCAATACCAAGATTCATCAAAACACCTACAGAAATAGTGAAAATCTGATTGGTCATGTACTAAAAACCCAATCTGCCTATTTTAGGCTTCTGAGATATCATGATAACAATTACAAATGATACATTGCACAGCCTTAACATTTGATCTGTGCACTTGACCTACAACTGATTTGCCTACTCGTTCATTAGTTACCTTGATTATTGAGGTATTCCTCCCAGTCAAAAGTGCTATTTGTATACGTTGTGTTGTCCGTTGTGTTGAAGCTTGTTTCAAGGCCTCGAAAAGGATCCTTGACACATTTGTGGCGCAGATTTCCCATGAACAGCTGCAGGCCAATGAGGGCAAAGACACTGAGACAGAAGACGGTCAGGATCATGACATCTCCCAGCTTCTTCACAGACTGGATAAGTGCACCGACAATGGTTTTCAGACCTGAAGGACAGGGGATTTCTCATGATACTACACTTGGTAGTTTGACTCATCCCAATACTGACATGAGTTTGAGAGCACAAACAATCAATATAAATGTTTTACACAGTTGGCAGTTTATTAGGTACTTTGTGCAGTCTTTGGCCATTTTATCAATTGTATATCTGCACTTCAATTTTTAAACCAACTCAGCATTTCATCAAAACAGTTAGTTTGTTTGGTTGTGTATCATCAAAAGGTGTTTGCTCTAGTTTAATACCCACCAGGAATCACAGTAATTGTTTTCAGGGCTCGGAGAACACGGAAGGTCCTCAAAGCTGACACGTTTCCCAGATCAACAAACTCTGTAATGTACCTGTGGACACCAAACAGCCAAAGTCAGTGGGAAAAAAAATTAAAAATACATTTATTTATTCAACGAATGATTATAGTTCAAGGTGTGGTTACTGGGTCAGGCAAAACTACTGTTTCTAAGTGTGATGGATACAGTTTTTCAGACAAGTTATTTGTCTGAAACATACACACAAGTTGTTGTGAAGGATGTGACCTGTGTTTAAAATGTATTTTAGCTTTTCTTCCTTTCTGTTTGTAAATCAGTGGGACACAAATGGCACCCCAATCATGGGATCACCTTTGTGTATACTTTTTTCAGTTGATGTTATGAAAAGGATACACTCCAAATCTTAAATATGAGACAACTCTGTATGTTTAAGAGTACACTCTAACCCTAATAACCCCTATAACCCTAAGCCTTGACTAAAAAGTTGTGATTCACCATTGGCTCTGTAGTTTTGTCCAAGACAAGGCTTAATCCATGTGTCTTTGAAACTGGCTCATTGAGTCTGTGTTTGATTGGGCTCAATTTGTCTTCCTGACCATGACCTCTGAAGACATATAGAATTTTATGTCAAGTACAGCACAAAGGAGTTCAACAGGTTTTTGCTATATTAACCACACAAGTCCAGTTTCCCAGACTCAGCTTAAGCCTAAACCAATATTTCAAGGGGTAATCCCCACTGCCACTGAAATTCAGTCCAAGACTAGATTTAACGCATGCTGCTATTAGTAAACTACATCCATATTACTCATTGCGGAACTTTAAAATATGTAGTGTAAGATCAGAAAAAGACTGAGCCTTATTTGTTCACTGCAGATATCTGGGCATTCATTAGAATTAAAGCTGGAAATTTATATGAAAGAGGCTTTATGTAATTTCCACAGTACACTGTTGATGGTGAATTAATGGAACAATGTGTGGGATTCCAATATAGGAGAAGTTTAATGCTGTGTGCCTTGTGCGTGTTCATTTATCTGGGGTTTCTATCCACAGGCCATCAAGCTTGTGAATAACTCTTTCACACACTGCCCCTTCCCATCACTCTGGTTGAACTCTGGTTAACACACACACACACACACACAGTATTTATTACACCCTACTGAACTGTACACACATACATATATTTATTATTCTGAAATTCCATTGTCATTTGCAATAATGCACGGTGCACTTTATGACCATTGCTCTCTGCTCTTTGCACATTACTGCACATGTAAGTGTGCACAGTCCCACATAAGTAATTTTAAATATATATATATATATATATATATATATATTGTGTGTGTGTGTGTGTGTGTGTGTATATATAGATTTATATGTGTGTATGTATGTATGTATGTTTGTATGGAGACTTGCGTACTACCAAAGAAATAATTTCATTGCACAGTGTAACCACCTGTTTTACTCTGCATATGACAATAAAACTAAATCTTGAATCTTTATGGCTATACCTTTGCCACTACAGTAGCTCCTCTGACAAGGAGGGCCAGAGTGTGAGGTTGAGATGTACAGCTAAAAATAGAGCTGGTAATTGACCCCTCTTTAGAAGTGGACAAACGTTTTTTATACTGTATCTCTAGACTCTATTATTAAATGCAAGCTAGGGGGAAACCTCATATAGGGGGTTATGGAGTGATTTTGAACACTGTGGCCAGTTTGGTTGATTTGAGTATCCAGCTTACAATGAATTAACCAAATTTTGAACACTTACTGACATGCCGATTTTTGCCAACAGAGGCGCTGTTGTTCCCGACTGTGGAATTATGTAATGAATATCAAATGGCTGATGTGTTCTGTGTGCTGAACTTTACCCATCCATCAAGTCTCACACTTACGCCATGCTGATCACCATGAAATCTAGCCAGTTCCATGGATCTCGAAGGAATGTGAAATCTCCAATACAGAACCCTCTGGACAAGACTTTAACTAGAGCCTCAAAAGTGTAGATACCTGTAAAAACGTACCTGTGACACAAGAGAGTGTACAGACTATAAGAGGATACGCAGTAGTGGTTAGTAATACAATAAAGGTCAGTCATGTGCTGTGCTGCCCTCTCTTCATTCTACTGGGCTATCTAACTCAGATAAACACTGTTACGTGATGTAATAGATCCTCTAGCCAAAGTTAATTTAGAGCCTTTGTCGGTGATCAGGCTTTTACAACAGAGATAAAATACACATACAGTGCTGAGCAAAAGTGAGAGACCACTCAATTTACAGTCAAAACTAGATATAAAATAAGCCACTTGCCTAAAGAAGGGAAAGCGGAAGGAAAATAAATTAACAGGAGTTTCCAAAACTGGAGAAACAGAAATTCAGCCAAATTCTAAGACTGAACTTGGTGTGGAGAAATACAGATTTCCTTGAAAAACCACAGATTTCTTTGAAAAACTGAAAATTAGTCTCCCAAAAAGAATGGAAGCTGTAATGAAACCAAAAGGTGGACACAAAAATAATAAGAAGACTGAAAATAATATTATATTTATTTGTTGAGGCTTATGTGTGATTTATTTTGACTGGAAATCAAATACATAAAAGGTAGTCTCTGATTTTTGCACAGGATTGTAAAAGCAAGTACAGTAAAAAGAATGAATCAAATGTACAACAATCCTGTATTTAGATTTATAAGCGTTCTACCATTTAAAAATTTGAAATCACTGTTTTCAATAAAGCATATTTTGTTGCAGATAATTAAATAAGTGACTGAATATGAATAATATAGAACAAATTAGTAGGAAGCTGTACATTTTTACAAAATGTTAGATGTGTCCAGAATGAAGAACAGAGCCGTAGATGATTCTAAAATGACTGAGAAAGAAAACTTTGAGAATAAGGTTATACTAAAAGTAACATCTAGAATGATTCATATTTGAAATGTGGTGATCAAACCTCCCGATAATTACAATATATTATTTATCATTTATTAACTTTTAATGTTCCCAAACAAATGACAATGTTAAATAAAACATTGTGAAATACCTTCTGGTGTCTAGCTTATACTAGTTCAATACACATTGTGTAAGTTATTATTGAATAACAGCAATTATTAATATTCCAAACTTTTAAAAAGTAGTGGTTTGTATCTGTATAAATAAATGTAAATCTCTGACTGTGTATGTAAGCACATGAATATAGGTTTATATGCACACACCTATAGGCATATATACCAAATTTCTGTTTAAGCCGGTGTTTTTTGTATTAAACCCTGTATTACAAATTCTGATCATGAAGCAGCAGTTTTGTCTTGCATATAGTTATTCTTCTCTTCATTTTTAATATGTTCCTGTGGTCCATTTTTGATTTCTTTGTGTTACTGTGTGAATTCATTTTGAGAGTAATGTGATTTTTGAAGTATGACAACGGTTATGTAAAATGTATTCATATTACTAATACAATGCTATTGTTGCTGTTGGTACTTACTCCATAATTTTGCTCCATTCTGGAGGGTTACTCATCGTCATAAACACACAGTTGGACAGGATTGTTACCATGATGAACATGCTGAACAATTTACTGAGCAGTTAAGGAGATGTTTGTATGATTTCTTAGTGGCCAAGAGTCACAGTAATGACTGCTGTGATGGATGTTCTGGATACTGTCAGACCATAGTGAGATATTTTATGGCAACTTTCACTGTTCAAATTAAGTTATTCCTGCTGCTGGCATCATTATGCAATATGTCTAGATGCAATGTCATGACCTACAGTGCATAATGTCCAGGACTTACACTTTATGTCCATACGTCTGTAGAAACTCATCCAATGTTTCTTCTGAAATCAAGGGTATTAATAGGGAATTTGTCCCTCTTTGCTGCAGTAACAGCCTCTTCTTTTCTGGGAAGCTTTGCACTAGATGTTGCAACATTGCATCACAGCCCAATGCTGGGGGGCTTGATGTGTGGCCTTGGACATGAGGACCTCATGTGTGGTTGCTCCAGAGCCTCCATTCTATTGGCAGTGCTTTTCTATGGAGAATATATAAGCTACATGTGCACCCTTGTACGCCTGTGTCAGCAGTGGGTGCACCTTAAAGTTGCCAAATTCACTGATTAGAAGAGGTCTCTGGAGATGTTTGGACATATAATGCATGTTTATGTAATTAGCAGAGCTTGTGTAAATAAAGGAACAAAAATGTATAGAACAAATAGAATAAATGTCTTTAGAAAAAAATATTGCATTAAATTCTGCAACTCTTCACATTTTATCGTCTGGCAAAATGGGATTTGGTTACAGCAATCCTTGGTTGATGTGGGGACCTAGCCAACAGGTTTAATTTAAAATGATTAAATTGGGTTTTCAGTAAATTAAGTGGGGCTTAGGGGTTTTAGTTTCTTATGCTATATGTTTGAAATGCAGCACAAAATATCTACTGATACCTTTATAGACATACTAGAGTTTTACTTGACATTTTAAAGTACATTATCGTGGTCATATCAAAACCTCACAATCCCATTTTTTTAAACTATTTGAAAACAGCTTCCCTTTATAATATATAACCATTTCATGATCAATAAACCAATAGAGGCTGGCCACAAGTACTTGGAAAAAAAATTGGGTACATTAACATACATTAAAATTAAGAAAATGTTTCCTTCTCCTATGAAGTTACCATTTCAGGCATGCAATGTTTGGTATGACACTGACAACATGCAAATTTCCTCCACATATTCAAAGGATATGAATGTATGAGTATTCTGATGGCTCCTCTGCGGATAGGACTAAATGGAGTTAGAATGTAACAGGCAGGCTCAGCGTTGAATCTATTGATTGTATTCCCTTTGCTGATCACGATGAAAGTCTGCAAAACAAATCAACTAAGGCTAAACAAAAGATACAATGATTAAACCACATACAGCAACATCTCTCGTAGTGCAATAAGCACATTGTATGTAGCTGCTTAACTTAAAGCTGATAGTTTGGCCTAAAGTCAAGTGTACACAATTTTCCCTTTAACCCAAATGCAGTCGATCAGCCAAGACATGCTTGCTTCTTTTGTTTTGCACTGGAGCTACAAGGCTAATGTAGCTAAATAGTAATGGAAGTTTATAGTTACCAGGTTAGCATTGTGCAAGCTAAATCTGCACACACTTGCCTTAAATTACATTGTTAATTAATCTCAAATAGCCTCTGTGGTTTCTGACACTGTAATACATGCTGATTTGTATAAAAATAGACAAAAAATGGACTGTTTTTCGCTGTGACATACCATTCATGCTGCATGCACAATAACGTTTTATCTGTCAGAAATGCATCTCCTGAAAATGGTGTCATCACTTTGCAGTTGGTGCCCAACTGTCATCACTCTGCAGTTGGTGGAACTCCAGCTATAAGCAGACTTCTCTATTGCAGAAATTGATGGCATTTTTTGCTGTTGTCATGTCCTGTGGTAAACATAAACGTTCCAAAGCTGATATGTTTTGCTATACATACATTTTTTTTCAGATCATTAAGATGTCGAAATGTGAATATTGCTATATGCAAGAGATTTGCAACACTGCTGCACGTTGAATTAACATCATAAGACTGGCAACCTCACAATACCCCAAGTAAATCAGCAAGCTTTGTTAAATGTGGTGGGTAAGTTGAGCAGTAATAACCTACAGTTTGAGTAGCTGATGTTGGTATATAACAGTGCTGAAATGTAATAGTAGACTATTTCATCCCTTCAATGTGCATGTGTAGTTAGCTTCCTTGGAGCATTTTTCATTTCAACTGCCAAATGACCACATAATTAGAGCATCCAGTGGCATTTGAGTAGGAAAATGCTTGTAGGACAAAATGTATTGAGTTTGGAACATTCTTTGGTTAGCACTGAGCATGACAGTGGTGATTTCTGAAAATGCCATTCATTTTTCTCACAGGCAAAACCAGCTTAAAGCCGGAATTCCATTTTCCATGTATGTGCATGATGTGGGCTACAGAATAAAACACAACTCCAGTCGTCTATAGAAGACCGACTATGGTGAGGCTTTAGTAAGTCATGTCAAAGACAAATTGGAGGAAGTACTAATCAACGCTGTCAACTCACATCCAGAGCTGTTCAGGGCTGATCAACTACATTTGTTCTAAGGGGAAAACTGGGTAAAGTTGATTTTGGGCTCAGTCATTGCTTTAGAATTTCAAAAGTCAAAAGGAAATGTTTCCTGGCTGATAATTATCAACTTTCCGTAACATGGTTTGTAAGAATGTGGTGTATGAAGAGGTCACAGGACTGACTTTCTTTGCTTTGTAATAGGGATCCAACTCCTCCAGAGGTATGTTGAGGAGCTCTGGTGGGGGGTCTCCATAGATGAATGGCAGAGCCTTGCCAGCCTCCAGGTCAATGGAGGGTTTTGGCAGGTCCTCCTCGGGGATCTCGATATTCAAGGCCTTCCTACGTTCCTGCTCGGCAGCTTCCTCTGCCATGCGCCGCTCGATTTCCACCAGTGACTCCGGCGTGAAGCGGCGGAACGCATCGGTGTCTGTGTGGGGGAGCAGTCTGGCCATCTTGGCATTCTGCTGGGCGAGGGATGCCACCACCTCGGGGTCTCTCAGCTGTGCCCTGCAGGGAGAGCAGAGGAGAAGAAGTGAGTAAAAGTGAGAAAACAGAAGAAGAGAAGAAGGGATGGGGAGATGAGAAGAAAGAAGGACAGGGAAAAAAGGGGAAAGAAGAGTGAAGGTGGTGAGCCAGTACATGGGATGTTACATGTTCAAGCTGACAAATCATTGGCCATCATGAATCCCACCCTTCCAGCAAACATGCAAAAGCTATGTCTTACTATTGAACTTACAGGGCACTATTTTAGTGCAGAAGTCAGCTGACCAGTTTCTTTCTACAAGTGTTATAAGCAGTTGCTTAGGGTCCCAGAGCCACCGGCCCCTTGATGTCATTTATGTCAATAATGTTAGCATACGATTACTTTTTGAAGACATTCATGATGATTTTCAAAAAAAATAAAGAAAATCAAAAAATGCACTCACCATTTAAATGCTCATTATAATGTACTTGCATGCATTTATTCATTTGTTTTAATTTTATTTACATAGACAATTTGATTGTTTAAGCTTCTATTTTCCCTGTGTATAGTTTGCTATTATTGATATATATTTACCATCATGCTTTTTTCCTGATCAAATTTAATTAAGTATTGATTGTTTTTCAGCCTTGCCTACAAAATATGACTGTGAAGTTGAAGGGGCCTCCAAATATCAGTACATTATGTTTACAATTTATTTATTTAGTCTGCCAGGTAAGGATAAAGTCACTGACAATCACTAAATACACAAGCATGTAAAATATCATGATATGTGGATGCTTTCATTGACATTTATAAACTTAGCTATTTGAGTTCACTAGATTGCTAACTTTGTAGCATGAGAGAACTTCAAGTTCATATTTTCACATTTTCAATATTCAGAAGAAAGATCTGCTTGATTCTATATACGACTCTACGTAAATGTGAGTATTTGAGCCAATATTAATACGAATTAAATTAATTAGGCTATCAAGCTAGTCAGTACCAAAGTCTGTCCACTCGGCGCCCATCTTGGCAATCCTTTTGAGCGGTAATATAACCAAGGACCAAAACTGTGCCCTATTCTCTGCATAGTGCACTATTATGGGGTTCCGGCATTTTGTAGTGGTGTCCGAAAACATAGTGCAAAAGATTCAGTGCACTCAAACAATCCCATAATCCACTGCAATAAGTAGTGTACAACCTATGTACCCTAGTGGATAGATGATACCCATCAAGCACTGCGTTGTTTGCAGATTCACATGCAACTTCTCTGAGTAGGATTACGGAGCCCAGTGTCTACACAGTCCTCTCTTTAGACCTGTTACAGATGTAAGTAAGCTCTTCTGATGTGTACAGTCAGACTCATTGGTTATAGTTGAGTGGTGGTGTATTTATAGTGTTTATGTGAAGGAATCTGCTGTCGCACAGTAATGAGCAGACGTATTAAGTAGTGTCTGAAATCATTTACTACCATCACCAATTCTGTTCCTATAAAATTGTCCTATATAGTGATCTAGATTCTCGGATGTAGTGATTAGGGGACCATTTCAGACACAGCATATGTCTTTGAATGGAGGGGGGCCTATAAATATGTAACTGAAAGCCATACTTACGTTTCAGAAAGAGATTTGAATTCATCTGTAAAATCTGAAGAGAACATAAATAGTTTGTGGCGTTTGGCTCAAATAATTCTAAAATAACGCACAAAACGCGTTACACCGTTTTTTCTGGCCACTGGGCATGCGCATATCGTCACAACAACTTTTCCCGGGCTTTTTTCCGCTTGGGGCTTTAGCAGCACGCTGATTGGCTCTTTTTATTGAAGGGCGGGACTTTCCTCATAAACAGACGCCATGTTGAGCGTTATGAATTTTCCCGTTCGTTTTACAATCAGTGACCGGATTATCATTGTTATTACGCCGAGGATAGCTTGTAAACCGAGGGGGCAGACCTCTCTTATATAAAATTTTGAGGTGAGGCTTGTCACCAACGTGTGGTTTTAATGAACAGCTCACGAGTGAATGTGAAGTGCTCATTTAATCTGTAATTTGAACAGGAGAGAGACACTGACTGACGAAGGTAGACAGGCAGGTGGAGATGATTATGAAGTCAGGCAGGCCCTCAGTGTCTGTGCTTAGGTGAGTGAGAAGAGGGTTTACAAATAACAAAAAGGTTACATAAGTGACGGTAATGCACAGCTTCTCTCCAGTCCGCATACTTTCTAATGACAGTGGGCAATAGGGCGAAAATCACATTGTTTGAAGGCTTTTTCATGGTACACAGTAGTTGTTAGGCTCGGCTGTTAACCTACGTCACTGAAGGCTGTCCTTGTTTGTGGCTTCCTTCACATATAAGAAATGCATCCCCCTAGACAGCAAGAGGATAGCAGGCCATTGATGGCCCGCTAATGGCAAAGCTGATGGCCCACTGGCTTTTTACTCAGTGTTTAAGAGGTGAACCCCACACTTTATCACACACTATTACAAACAGTTTGCATTGGAGTCTCTGTAGTGACTGAATAGTAAGCTTTAATATGTATTAAGCCTAGGATTTTAAGGGTTTATGCAGAGTTTTAGAAGAAATGCAGCTGTTTATCGCTCATTTTCCACTCACAGTCCAATTTACTTATTTTCCTTCATTTGTTTTTTTGCTATCCTTTTATTAGTTTAGTAAGTAATTTTAATAGCAATGTCATTAATAAAGCCAATTATACAGCTGTAACGAATGAATGAAATATGAGTTTTAATGTAACTGTTTGGAATGTGAGCATTGAAAATGAGACCTGCTATACTAGACTAGCAAGGCCTCGCTTACAGCCTTGACTTGACACTACCAATATAAAATGTATTAGGGCTAGATGATATATTGTGTTTACCATTATATTGTGACATTGACATACTGTGGTACTGCATTTCAGTTTTCATAAAGTGAAAATTATGTCCATGATATGTGCATAAAATTGCTATGTTCCTGTTGCCAAATGGTTTGTTTTTATTTATTTTTTTTACTTTACGCATGGTATCCAGGACCTGACAGTTAACTACAGTATTTGTCCTTTAGTGGCTACTTCAGATTGTTTTGTTTAACCCCTTAAAGTTCCAGGTTTATTACATACCAAGGCTTATTATTCAGCAACTACAGGGACTTCAGTGCAAACTAGCTGGGCTATTCTTTTGTAATACATTTTTTAATAAACCTTTTTTGTTATAATAAGAATTTTGTAATAAAACTGTAAAAACAAGTAAAAATTTGGGCCTGCTGGTGGGCCCTGGGCATTTAAGCGGTTTATAAACATATGCAATAATATGTTTAAGGTTTCCTTTGGTGTCATTTTAAGAGAAGAAAACAACAAAGAACAGTCCCACCAATTTAGGTTTTCGCAGGTTTGTAAGACATTTATTTAGCATAGAGTAGCAACATTCAGGAAGCATGGGCTCATTAACTTTATTCATGCTTACTTATTAACTTTATTAATGATAACTACAGTATCATTCGATACTGTGATACAATCAGAAAAGATCATGATATTGAATTTTTATCAATGTTGTTCAGCCCTCATTGGTGTCAATTCATTTTACTGATGCTTGTAAAGCATTAAAAAATGGACAAAATACACGAGCAATACAGTAGTGGCACATTTATAAAAGGCTTTAAAACACACTGAATTCCCTAGTTGTTGTTTACAAGCTCTGTATAATTCACAAATGTGTTCTTATGTTGTGACTACTAGGGGATTGGATAAGCTTCACAGAACACTGGCAAAAATCCTATTTAAAGAATACATTTAGATTGGAGTTTAGAGTCGCTACACTCTACACGTTGAGTTTAAAATGCTACACTACTGAGCTGGACTACAATGTTGTAGCTAATTGAAACAAGCCAGGTTGGACACTACATTACTACACTATATTACTACACTACAAAAACTACACAAAATCTGTCCTAACAGTAATACCAAAATTAATATAAAATATTTGGACAAGAGTTCACTACAGTGTCTCATTAAGTTGAGTGGAATTTGCTATGACAAATGCATTTGTGGGCAGAGCATGGATTGGTCAGTTGATCTGTCTGTCTTTTTATGATACACAAAGGTGTTCAAAGTTCTGAAGGAACTGACGATACTCACAGTATAAAAAAAATACTGGGATGTAATTTATCACGATAATGGTAAAAATACTGTGATATAGCTCACGCCTGCTTGTCAGTTTATCGTTCTTTAGTGAAACACACGTCAAATTCGCATGTCAGTTTTTATAGTGTTTAAAGAAATTTGAGAAGGTCTAAAAGCCTGCAATTCTAACTCTATTGAAAGAGGTTTGGGTATTTTTTTTGAATTGCAACACATTTCCAGTATTTTATGTCTTGCATTTGCATCATACATAAAATATTTTATTATAACTGGAAGACATAATCATTGAAAAATGTAATAATCATAGAAAAATTATATGCAATATAATTATAAAAATAATTATATTGCATTATTTAGTCTGTGTTTTAATACATTGATCTATATTAATTTTTATGACAATGTGAGAAATGTTAAATGTAAATGTTAATTTAGGTGTAAAGACTGAAGAACAGACAGATAAAAAGATAGATACAGTCGTTTGCAAAAGCTTAAGCATCCCTGGTCAATTTACATGTTTTGTTGATTTTCTTAATAAAAATAAGTCACCACATCATTAACTGGGAGCAAACTTAAATAATCATTTTTTTCTGCAAATATTAATGCACAGTTTCTATGTATTTCTTGAGTTCAGCATATTGGGAAAAACTAAAACATAAAATTTGCAATAACTTTCACACAGACCACATTTTATGGTAATTTTTTGCCCAATATGTTAAATTTAGCAAATAAACAGTAATTGTGCATTAAAATGTGCAGAGGTGTGTTTTCTGTAGAGGATGTGTTTAACTTATTTTCACATAGAAAATCAACAAAACATTTAATTTGACTCATAGATAGATAGAAAGACAGACCAACATATGTTTTAAAAAGTATATGTTTCACTGTCTCTGTAGTCCGACATCTGAAAACATTCAAACCAAGTCACTACAGTTCATTTAGATAAACCCCCTCTGAAATATAAGGTGTTGAGTTTTCTCCAGCATCTTGGAGAAACTGAATTGAATCGCTCTCAGTTCTTGTGTAAATTAGCTCAAGCTCAAGAGGTGCCAGCACTGACTCAACATTATTCTAAAATAAAAGAAAATAACCTAAAACACATTTCCTATGTTTCTATTGCTTCTATTGTTGACTATTTTCAACAGTAGTATCCCAAAAAAATTATCTACCAGAAAATACTGATGTTACCGTGGTTCCATTACATTTTTTGTATTTATGTAGTATTTCTTTAATATTCAGTTTATTTGTAGAATGATTAGTGGTATATAATTTGCTCATCAATCAATCAGTTCCAAGCAGAATAAACTTACAGTTGATGTGGCCATAGTTTCAGATCTTTGGATTTCTTCAAGCGTGCTGCACGATTCCTGCGCCACACCTCCAGTAGGGTGATCTTTCCTCTGGGCATACCTGCTGTCTGCCCAATGTGCTGCCTGTTTACACTCAAATACGCTGGACTAACGAGAAAAGTACAATAACTTCCTGCTCGGTGAATCACAGTTTTAGTCTGCCAGTTCTTTTGGACTTAGATCAGACACCCACCCCCTCAAGAAGTCCCAAAACTGTTCCAAAACAAAGGCTCTATTGGTTCTCTGAATTGTTTTTGGAAACAGCTCTAGTGCACAGCAGGAGACAGTTGGTATTAGATATGCCCACTGATTCTATGAATGGAATTGAATAGTAACAGTGGAATTGTATACTGCTTGGTATTTTTATATAATATTTTTCATCTAGGTATAATAATCAGTTTTTTTTATAATGATCTTGTAGAGTATTTTTCAAGCATATTATGTTGGCTTGGTTCTTTATACTAGCTGCACTTTTTTGAGGGTGGGCTATTTTACTGTTTGCCACTTTTGGTATGTCCTCATTTGTGCTGTTGATATTTTGTATTAAATGATGTGCATGTAGCATGTGGTAGCCTAGCTAAAGTTTAACTTAAACTTTAAAGCAGCCTAATGCAGCCTAAAGGTATAGGCCTATTCCTCTGTTAAAAAAAAAAATTCTAAAATAGTATAAAATTTAAGGCTTGCTACCCTTTTTTATGGTCGAATGCATGTAAGTAAACCGTATTTTTTAATGCTGCTGTTGTCAGTTTAGAGAAATGAAATGTAAATTCACAACAAACAATGGCTTTTACTGCTATTATTAAGATAAAATACTGTATGTCAGTTGACTAGTTGAACTACTGAAACTGAATTACAGCAAAAGGCAAGAAATTAAATGACTAATTTTACAGATTTTTACCATTATTGAGAAAACATACTTTTCCTGTTAATTAACAGGTTTTATCTAGCACCTTGGATACTGGACTTGTTACCTGTTTTTCCTGCAGATTTTTTTTTTTTATCTGAATGTTACAAATATACAAATATACAAAGTTTTGAAGGTATTATTGAACTGCTTTTTAGCCATTTACTGCAGAAATTTTGAAATATACAAGGAAAAAGCTAATGCTTTTTCTTATTGAAAATGGCGTAATTAATAAAAAATAGATTAAAAACAAAATAATAAACATTAAGGGTATGATTGGGGGTTTGGGTAATTATTAGTATTTTTTTACATGGCAGTGACATTCGACAATGGATTCTGCAGTGCACACAGTACACTCACATAGGACATATTACCAGATCGTCCAGGCATGAAAGACAGGCATTTGCATAAGAGCCTTATATGCATAAATGTTTTAAGAGTACAAGTATGAAAATAATACTAATGATAAAAAATCAGCACATGGTATGTGGCAACATCTATATTTTATCGGTTACATAAAACCACAGCATCTTATAACATCCTATAGATTGCGTTTTATTTTTGAAGATTTTACTGAACTATATGCACACACTTTAAAAGCCTGTCAGAAGCCATTCCTCATCCAATGATGTGAGTATGCAGCAGGAAGATATATGATCAGAACAACAGTTACTGTTTTACACATTGAAAAATGAACTTCCATATTGTTTTAAGCCAGAAAGTAAACGAAAATACTTGTTGCCATATGGCAACAGCATGTAGTAAAGGGTTACGGCTTTTTACAGGCTGGGGAGCTATGGCAACTGTGCTAATAAAGCTGGCAGGCTGTGGTAAGTGCCTCACTGCCATACTGACAAAGTTGTCATCCAAATCCTGTTATAGTGGGCCGAAGAAGTATGAAGTTACAGAGAGTCTTTTAATGTTAGGTGTAACCGTCCCTTTTAAATCGTTGTGTCTGGCTCGTGAAAATCTTCTTCTTTGGGCAAAGTAAAAAAACCCAAATAAACATTCTGCATTGAACTTTACCTTTTACAAATCATAACATTCACATTATCATTAGAATAGACCGCAAAAACATAGGCGATGATGGCATGCAGTATTCTGTTCCCTACGGTTGTATTGTGTGAATTGTTTTTCCAGTCCGCTCTTGTTTGCTCCTGGGAAATTAATTTGACTGTATCAATAGGGTCCTTTCTTCTTTTGTGTTGCTTAAGTGGGATTCTGGGAAGACCTTTGGGTACTCTCTACGCTCCCAAACTTTCTTTTATCAAGGTTATGGCTCACTCTGAATGCACATGAGAAGACCAGCTAATCCAAAAACTGGAGGGGGTACAGCTTCCCAGAAGTCACTCCTTGTGACATGCCGGTTTCTGCCAGCAACAAACTTAGAGTGGCGCAAACTTCTTTAGGGTTCATTGATGATGTAAAACTTGCCTGTGCAGCTAAACGCAGCATGGGATTTTTTTAAATTGCCTGTTATATTTTTATACATTTATTCCTCACAAAGTGTGGTGTAATGACCATAAGAAAAGAATATTGTAATATAATGTAAGGGCCTATCATGGAACACATTTTTCACTCTTTTGAAATGAGTTTGCTGTACTATATAAACATGCTTACAGTTTTAAAAGGTACTATTTATTTCTCAGTCCATGTTGGAAATGAAACTACAAAGACAGCCCGTTTCTTATGTTTTCTTTTGTGACATCACTAAAGCCAAAGCATTTACACAGTCAAATGCAAAAGTTTGAAGACTCCCCGCCCCCAGGCAAATTACACGTTTTGTTGATTTTCTAAGTGAAAATGAGTTAATACGTCCTCTACAGGGAAAAAAAATAAATATGGCATTTTTTTCTATTTATTTGCCAAGTTAACATTGTAATATATATATATATTACAGGCCATGTTTTATTTTTATTTTTATTTTTTGTCCAATATGTTAAATTTAGCAAATATACAATAATTGTGCAATAAAATGTGCAAACGTTTGTTCTGTGTAGAGGATGTTTTTACGTATTTTCACATAGAAAATCAACAAAGAAGTCATTTAACCAGAGACGGCCAGACTTTTACATACAGCTGAATATGTCTGCCTGTTCATGTTGAAGTTATAAGGAGTGTTTCAAACTGGACTGGTGTTTGAATGAGGCACACTATGGGGCAGTTAATCAGAACAGAGCTCATTTACATAAATCTGTCTTAAAGACACATTAACAGAATAATAACAAACAGCCTGTTTCATTTGAGGTAAGAAAGATGTATATGTATATGTGTAAATGTATGTGTGTGTGTGTGTGTGTGTGTGTGTATATATATATATATATGTATATATATATATATGTATGTATATATATATATATATATATATATATATATATATATATGTATGTGTATATATATATATATATGTGTGTATGTGTGTGTGTGTATATATATGTATATATATATATATATATATATAAATATATATATACACACACACACATATGTATGTATATGTATGTATGGATCTGGTGTTGTCAGCTGCAGTGCCTCATAATCTCACACCCAGTCACATTACAAAAAATCATTTGAAGGGCAGCTGTGACTCCAGCCAGCTATAGTATTATGCTGAACACTACAACAAATATCAAACTGATCTTTTAACTGCTGGGTAGAAGCCAACACATGGCCAGGGTTCTGCTATAAAGAAGTCTCAACTTAAAACATGTCCAAAATGTACCACATGTACATTTTAATCCTTAAAGTTACACTGTGTCAGATTTGGGGATTTAGAGACCACTCTAGTGGAAATGACCTAAACATCGAGCCAGTGTAGAGTCTAATCATACGTCCTGATCTTACCGTCAAGATTTTCTCAATGTCATTGGGTGAATCATACCTAAGAGAGCGGTCAGTCAACAACTCTGGGAGGAACCTACCTGAATGTACCTGACTTTTTAAATTATTATTTCAGGCTTTTCAGGGTGACTCACTGCGATGCACCAACACTGTATTTTTGCATGTTTTTTCTACAGTTCTACATATGCAGACAAGCTGTTGGAATCTACCCAGCTATTGACTTTTTTTTTGACTGCTGGTAAAACATTTCTTTGTTTGAGTATGAGAAGGATAGTCAGTAAAAGGCCTCTGGCTCCCAGCATTTGATATTGCAAAACAGAAGCTTTTGAAGAACAATCAGACTTCTAGGGAGTACTACATACTTACTGAGATTATTCTTAGATAATCTTTATCTTTTGGCTATTTTTCTGTCCTCGTTGAACTGTCAACTTTCTCCCTTCTCTTCTTGCTCATATCTTTTTTTTTCCATGGGCAGCACGTGTGTGGTTGTTGATTTGCTGCTAGGGATACTGCACATACTCTGAAAGCGTGATGCATTGAGTTTACTTGATTCAAATGCATACATCTTTTCCACATGAATAAAACGTATTATATATTCTAAGACAGTTATTGCCAGAACAACAGTACTGTGCAAAAGTCAGAGACCACCTTTCATTTGATTACTTTCCATTCAAAACATCCAAGTACATAGGATCTGGTGTTGTCAGCTGCAGTGCCTCATAATCTCACACCCAGTTACATTACAAAAAATCATTTGAAGGGCAGCTGTGACTCCAGCCAGCTATAGTATTATGCTGAACACTACAACAAATATCAAACTGATCTTTTAACTGCTGGGTAGAAGCCAACACATGGCCAGGGTTCTGCTATAAAGAAGTCTCAACTTAAAACATGTCCAAAATGTACCACATGTACATTTTAATCCTTAAAGTTACACTGTGTCAGAGTTGGGGATTTAGAGACCACTCTAGTGGAAATGACCTAAACATCGAGCCAGTGTAGAGTCTAATCATACGTCCTGATCTTACCGTCAAGATTTTCTCAATGTCATTGGGTGAATCATACCTAAGAGAGCGGTCAATCAACAACTCTGGTGGGAATCTCTAGGCACCGATTTTATTCAATTACGATTCAGAGGGCTGCGATGCGATTATAAAACGGATTTTTTAAAGCAAAGTATCTATAATGATCCATAATGAATTTACTTCCAATATCTTTTATTTATAAATCAAATGTAACCGATATGGCAAGTCAGCTGGAAGACTCTCATTCATTGCTCTTGTTTGGAGTACATGAGACGCAGGCTGCCACTCATCTGCGATAAAATGCGTTGTTACGGTGAAATAAGATCCTGTGGCAATGGCAGTTCTACCCGTTTTCTTCAGTGATTTCATAACTTCAGTT